AGCAGCTGCTCCCGGGCAGGATTCCAGGCCACCCCTTGGATGAGGGCTGCCCATCCCATCCAAAACCCGCTCCCCTCCTCTCCTCCTGCCTGCTCCTGCCACAGGCAGGGTTCAATCCATGCCGTTAACCCTCCCGACTGGTTGCTGTGGGAATGGAGGGGCTGCAATCCAGCCACTGGGAATGAGACTGGGGTTTTTCCGGCTTCACACGACCTCCAAGAAAGTGAGGGATGTGCGAGTGGCTCCGGCATCTTCCCACAGACACCTCGGGGCTGCCTCCTGGGAGCCACAGGGAGCTGCCCTTTGGAATAACTTCCCTCTGCACAAGAACAGAGACTTCTCTTCAAAAATCAACCCCGCACTGCAAGGGTGACACCTTTGGGTACGATTTCAAGGGAATATAAGCAAAGGACGACCCTAAATAATCCACCCACGTGTGTTCCTGCTTGTGCCTCGAGGATTTTATAAACACAACCAGCCAGAGTCCTGGCAACACCAGGAATTGCTTCAATTACTCATTAATGATGCTTTATGCTAAAATTACTGAGGTGTGTAATTAAGTGATCTGGGGGCAACGACAGCAAACAGGTACAGCCAAAATACAAGCAATTCACAGGTACAGCTCTGTCCCTGGGCCCCAAATTCAGAAATCAAGGGAGCTGCAGACACAAGGACTGTGCTGGGATCATTGCTGTTCCCTTCCACCTTGATATATCTACTCAGTTTTCCTTGGGAAGACAATTAGCTTGATTAATATGGGGTATGAGAGCTCTCTGCAGCCAACTCGTGCAGGGGTGCTGCAGAGGGCAGGGGAAGGTCATGGAATAAATCAGGGCATGATGAACTGGGAAGGGAAAAAAGGAGAATCACAGAACCATTGAATGGCCTGGGTTGGAAGGGACCTTAAAGCCCATCTCATTCCACCCCCTGCCATGGGCAGGGACACCTTCCACTAGCCCAGGTTGCTCCAAGCCCTGGCCAACCTGGCCTGGAACACTTCCAGGGATGGGGCAGCCACAGCTTCTCTGGGCAATCTATGCCAGGGCCTCACCACCCTCAATGGGAAGAATTTATTCCTAATATATAATTTACACTTTTATATTATGTATATTAGATATATAAAAGTTAAAATAGATTAGATATACTATAAATAATAGTATCTGTACATCTACAGTGGTATTTGAACACCTATATATTATATATCTGTACAGGTATCCTTTGTGGTCCAGGGAAGAGTATTCCCAGCCCCTCCAGCTCCAGCAGTGCTGCCTCCCCACATCCCAATCCCATCTTCCCTCAAGCTGATGCTGAGCTGATGTCACCACCTTCCCAGTAGCTCTGCTGAACATCTGACTCCAAGTAAACACAAAGGCCATGGCTTAACAAGATTAAATCACTGTATTTGGCCATGTAGTTTCTGCCTTCCTCAAATAGCTCAGGCTGGTAAGAGTCACTGAAAGGAAGGTGAAATTTCCAGTAAAAATCCTGCTTTCCTGAAAATCAGGAACGTTAATTTCAGTATGTCGGATGCCAGGGAAGGAAAGTCAGGACCATCCTTGATGGATGTGTTCCTGCTGCCTGCTCAGAGACCTTCTACCACGGCTGGGCTGCCACTATCCCAGCAGCTTTTCCCCCTTCCAGATCTTTAAATATTAGGATAATTTTGCTGGTTTGTTCATAAATACACCGAGAGCTGAAGAAAAAGCTGCTTGAGGTCGATGTAAGGCTCTGAGTGCTCAGCAGCATCAGTGACAGATCTTCTGTTCTGTGATTAAACATATCAGAATTTCCTGACATGACTCACTGCTGGAGAGATTCGGCAGCGACCAAGTGACCTCCCTGTCTAGCACGACATCAAAAAGGCCAGTGGGACACAGGGGGAAAAGCCAAATCCACTCGGAAATAATGCTGGCTAAGCCTTTTCTATTTTAAGGAGAGACTGCCCAATATTTATGTTTTAAAAAACACCAAAAGAACCAGGAAAGAAACAGCGAAGATTCGTAAGCAGCTATAAATACCGACCGAACCACGGATGCACCGGACACCGCACGTACTGCCGAGCTCTTCCTGCCTTACCAAACAACTGGGTCAGCCAAGAGTAACCTCAGCTGCCTTCTGAGGGCAGAAATAGATTTACTACAGCCCAGGTTGGGTTGCAGGCTCCTTTCGGAAGGGAGGACTCCAGCCCCGAGCACCGGAGTTCCTCAAGGTGGAATTACCGTCTCCTCGTTGGGTTTTTTTGTTTTGGTGGGGAGGAAGAAACACCAGATTTTGGGATGAGGAGTTTGTGGAGGTGGGTAAAAAGCGATGCATTAAAGCAGCAGATTGATTCAAGCCCTGTGTACCTGGCAGAAAATGACCCCTCCTTTCTTCTGGGCTTCTCCTCAACACGGAAAAGAAGGTGAAGAGGAGTCAGGGAGGAGACAGCAAGACTCGGTTCCTTCCCTCCACCAGACAGTTTTACAGTGAAGCATCATCACTTAATCCCTAATGTGATTTTTCCACTAGAAGAAAACCCACAGGGTTGGCAGGTTTCCCATTTCAGGGTTTGCTTTTCATCCAGCACATAAATTTGCAGGGAAAAAAATTACGACCCAACACCAGCAGCTTTAACATCAAGTAGAGCTGCTACTGCCTTGCCTGTGACAAAACCGAGGACAGCCTTGCTATGGAAGAGAAATCAGCACAAAAAAATATATTCTTTGCAAGTTTTTGGTTCAATTGGTCCTGCTATTTAAGTATTTGCACAGAGAATGGCAGATCTGGAAGGGAAAAAGAGTGGACACCCAGGCTGGTTGATGCCCAAGTGACTGGTGGGTGTCTGAAACCCGAAAACACCGACGATTTAGGGAATTTATGGGACAAGCCCGTGCACTGAAGGAGAGGCAGGAGCCAAACCAAACGCCAACCTCCCCATGAGCGTTTTGCAGCACTTACTGAACGTCTTGCAGATGTCAGAAACAGCCTTGAAGACCCTGTCGGAGAAGTTGACTTTCACCTTGACGTACTTCATGTTGGGCAGCTGCAGGCGGAGCAGCTTGTGCTGAGGGGTGAACTGGAGCTTGGCATCCGCCTGTATCCCGTATTTATCCAACGTCCAGTGCGTTTTAAGGAGCCAAGTTTTCTTCTTTTCCCACCACAGCGCGTGATCCGACCAGTCCTTCTTGACATCTGGAACAAAGGAGCCATTTTTCCCGGTTAAAAGCGGGACCAGAATTAGCCTTCAAAGGACAAAAGAAGTTTAAATGTGTTTAACTGAGAGGCAACTATCGACCCAAAAAACTCCAACAGCCCCTTTCAGACACAAATGACTGCTTGTACTCAATGCTATTTTGAAGCCACCACGGATATAAAAGCAGGGAAGAAGCCAAGGGGAATAAGGATGAACACAACTGTCCATGGATCACTCAGCCCAACAGTGATCATGGCTGGAACATGAAGCCAAGGGGTCATAAGCGACCTGACAATTTCCCCAGGAGGGATTTTGCACAGTTTTTTGGGTTAACTCTCAATTCTAGGGTTTTCCCCCTCCCCACCATCCAGGACACCTGTGTTATCCAAAGGTGAGCCCAGCCACCTCGGCACACATGGAAAGCAGAACTAGGAGGAGGTTTGCAAGGACAATTCAATAGAAACTCCGTATTTTCTCCCAAGACTTTCAGATTCTACAAAGAGACCCTGGAAAATTCCCAAATGAAACTAAGAGTTACCTCCCAAAGGAACAACAGTGCAAAACCCAACAGCCACGTCTCCTTCCAGGAGACGGAAGGAGGGAATGGATGGAGGGATGGAACCATGGGGTCTTTGAAGGTCACCTCCAAGTCAGGAACCATTTGGGGAAACAAAGCATGGTGATAACTCCAAAAGACAGACACTGTGCATTGTTTTCCCTAACACCTGGAATGTTCTTTGCTAACACCTGCCCTGCTCTCCCAACGGCCCCGTGCCATTCCTGCAGAGCATCTCCCACTCTAACAACCACTGATGATGCAGCATCCCCTGACCACACAAGAGAGAGAGAAGGAAAGGAAATGAATGATCCAGCATTTTGCAAAGCTCTGCTTAGCCTAAACCCTCCACACCCAAAAATACTGACCAGGGAACATGTCAGCGTCCATGGCACCAGCCAAAACTCTCATTTCAAAGGAAAAAACAAGGATGTCATCCAGGCAAGCACAGGAGAACCTCAAGAGGCTGCAGACAAGTTACAGGGTCACTTCTGCACTCAATATTGGAAATGGTAAGAGTTACCAGTGAGTTTTGAGCTTGTGGATTATCTGAATTTTCGTAACAAAAAAGAAGCACTTTCCAGGTTAAAGCTCCAGGTTAAATATTATATTTAATATATAATTATTAAAATTAATACAATAGTTCAGTATTCAACTCCAGATCCGCCTGTGATCCTGGATTTCCAACATGAAACATCAGTTTAACCTAAATTAACACCACCAGCTGACATTTATTCCAAGAGCTCCTGCCTCCATCCTTCAGGAGTGATGTTCGTGCAGGGCACCAGCCAGAAAGCCAGGAGCAAATCCCGAAGAATCCAAGGGCAAAGTCCCAGCAGACACACCACCAAGGAACACACTCCAGCACTGACATCACGGTGGGATTGTTGGCGTGTCCTGTGCAGGGCCAGGAGTTGGACTGGATGATCCCTGTGGGTTCCTTCCAAGTTGGGATATTCTATGATTCTGTGATGGTGAAGGCTATCCCTATAAGCCAAGTTTGAACTTAACTGAGATGAGAACAACATGATAAGTGAACTTTTTTCTGTCCCTATCTAAAAATGGGATCTTGAGCTCGGGGTCACTGAGAAAACCCAGCAGGAGCTGTTCTTTTTTTTTCTTTGAACTCCTGGTTTAATGGCATGATCACGACTCCAGACAGTGGAAACGTTCAGCTGGGCTTTTCAACAGCTTTGTACAATCAAATTAAACAAAACCAAATATAGAAAAGCATGCAAACTTGCACAAGCCTTGGCTACTCGGAGAAAAATCCGAGAAATCATTACAGTGGACTCTGGTAATGAAGTCCAACTTCTGCCCTACTGAAAGCTGAACCAATTGGCACTGAAAATCGGGGGGAGGAAAGAAAAAAGATGTTTTGAATCACTAATGTTTATGCCTGACAGAAGGGGTTTGGGTTTATGCTGCAGATTAACCTTTCAGCCCATGGCACAAAGCATCTTCTTCGGGCCTGAGAGTAATTAACACTTTGAATTAACAGTGAGATGTTGGTTACAGCCAGGAAGGTAAAGGTCTGTGCCTGTCCCACGGGGTAGTTATATATAAAAGAGGTTGGCAAATGTTTAGCAGCTGCCTCATGGGGTTGAGTTTAACATGCTGAAAAGAACCTTCGGTGCTCTGCCAGGGATCCAGGATTGCTTGGAGCAATCCTTGCACACCAGGGAATGCCAGGAGCCTGGTTAAATCTGATTAAAGGTCTACAAATCTTCACCAGGGTCCCAATCCGCGAGTTACTGATTTGTGGGGGTTACAGTTTTATGGCAAGGCTTGTTATTTCAGCTCAGGCTTTTCCCATCTACTGCTGTCAGTCATTGGCCACTTCATATTTATCACCTCATCATACTGATCAACTTATTCATATTTATCAACTATTACCAATTCATCAGCTGGCCATTTCATATTCATCAGGGCTCAGGTAAGGGCTCCAAGCACTGCAAAATCACTTTAGAGAACACAGACTTCAAATTTGAAGGGTTGTACAAGTCCAAAGCCAGGCTGAAAATCTTTGCCTGTAAATCCAGAAGTTCCTCTGAGCTGCTAAATGTGATGGACATGGTCCTGCTGGAGCAAGTCCAGAGGAGGCCACCAAGGTGATCAGAGGGATGGAGCACCTCTCCTACGAGAAAACTTTGAGGGAATTGGGACTGTTGAGCCTGGAAAAGAGGCTTTGGGGGTGACCTTCCAGTACCTGAAAGGAGCTACAAGAAGGATGGAGGGAGACAATTCACAAGGGCCTGGAGTAACAGGACAAGGGGGAATGGCTTCAAACTGCCAGAGGGCAGGGTTAGATGGGATATTGGGAAGGAATTCTTGGCTGTGAGGGTGGGGAGGCCCTGGCACAGGTTGCCCAGAGAAGCTGTGGCTGCCCCTGGATCCCTGAAGTGTTCAAGTCCAGGCTGGACGGGGCTTGGAGCAACCTGTGATAGTGGAAGGTATCCCTGCCCATGGCACGGGGTGAAATGAGATGGTCTTGAAGGTCCCTTCCAACCCAAACCATTCCATGATTCTATTAAATGAGCTGCACACTTGTGTAAGGGTCACAACAAATCACTGCTGCTGCTGCTCCCCTTCCAGGCAAGGAATCTGCCAGGTGAAGGCAGCAGGGATGTGGAAGCTGGAGCTGACACAGCACCAGCTGGAGCATGGGCTGGGGACAGGGAGTTCCAGGAGCCCAATCCCAGCAGGGAAAGGGAAGCACGGCATTTCCTTCCTGGCATCAAAAATAATCCCTGCTCCCTGCTTCCCCCACCTTCCCGTGCAGCCTGAACTGAAACCTCGGCTCCTGGGAGCCCGGGAGGGCTGGGAAACACAGCTGTGATTTTTTTTTTTTTTCCCAGGAAGAACCTGGTTTTGCATTTGCCTCCCAGAACCGTGCCAAGAGGCAGAGACATGGCATGAGTGATGTTCAGGACATTTTGTACCACAAACCCCACGGAGCTGTTCCCCTTGGAAAGCCATTCAGATGGTCCTGGGAATGCAAGAGGCATCTTAAAATCCCACAGAAGGCTGCAGAGACCTCTGTGAGGGCAGAACATTACGAGAAGGAGTGAAAGACTGCTCAATAAAGTGTTTTAAACCAGACACATCCTTAGCTTTCAACCCGTGCCGGCACCTTGCCGCAGTCACATCCCACCAGCTTGTCCAGCATTCTTAATTCCCACAGCAACCACTAAATTCACATCTACAACTCAAGAATTCACATCTCAATTAAGGCAGAAAATCAGCCTTAATTGAGATGCACATGGAGTGGATTTTAATTCACAGGGACCCCCCCCCCCACAACCTCCACTCAAGCAACAAAGCTGAATTTGGGCGAAGGGCAAAGGAAACCGAGGCAGCCCCATCCGCCCTGTCTGATAGCCCATTTATCCCATTTATCCCAGGAGCCAGAGCTCCAAATGCTTTCCCCTCTGCCAATCCATGGTTTTTAAAAGTCCCTTTTCTGCTCTGCTGCTCCAGCAGCTACTGCAGCTCCTTCCTCCAGGAGCACTCCCGACACTTGGCAGCTCTCCGGGCGAGCTTAGGACTCGGCAGCAGTAGTATACAAGTCTCCAGCGTTGTATAAACACTGTATTTTCCTTGTTATTTTGGGATATCCCCTACTGCAGATGGGCTCTCCTTCCCTGCACTCAGGACAACGGAGCCCTGATACACCGAATAAATCTCTTTTTTTCCCCATCCCCAGTGCGCAGTTAAACCCCACCGGATGGATATCTGGAGGGCAGGGGTGGTCTCCACCTTCGGGAAAGGCTTCTGCAGGGTAGGACCAGATTCCTTTTCACACACACATCCAGGATTAAATCCACAGGAGAGCAAAGAGCCTACCAACACCCTCCACCACATTAACATTGGAGACAGAGTACTAAAAATCTCCTGCATAAGCCTGAGTGGGTACTGAGGGAATTCTGCAGGCCTGCCTGGGCTGGATCACGGATTTCTGATGGATTTTTGGAGACAAAAGATTTGCAGCTGAAGCTGGTTTGCCTGCAATACTCTCCACCTTCGGAGCAGCAGTGGATGCAGCCACAGCAGAGGTTTCAGCTCATTCCTTAATTATAAATGATGGCTTTTAGAGCAACAGGATTCAAGCCTTCAGCATTCCCACAGGAGCAATCCAAAAGGATCCTCCTCCTCCAGAACAAAACGTGGCAGAACCAAAGGCCATCCATCCCACTGGGTGTTTTTCCATAGGAGCTGAATTAGCTGGTCCTGGCTCTTTCCAAATGATGTGTGAGCACCAGAGGTGGGTTTAATGAGGATCATCCCTGCTCTGGTCTAGTAAAAACTTGGGAAGCTGACATGGAAAAATGGCTTTCCATTACACCATCCCTCAAATTTTTATTTTTATATATATATATTTATATTTATATTTATATAAATATTATTATATTATATATTTTATGTGTATATATGCATGTTTAT